ATATGGATAGTTTTTATTTTTTACAACAACAAGCTGCAATAAAAACAAGATAAAATGAAATAAAAGTAACAACTTTATACTTCTTGTCTTTTTTATAAATGTAAGAAGTAAAAAGTAGACTGAAAAATAATTACTCAGGTAAAGTACAGATACCCAAAAATTCAAATTAAGTACATTAACAAAGTATTTGTACTTAGTTCCTTTACAACTCTGCAGTCGATACAAATGTTAAGTTTTAAAAACATAAACATCTTACTTTTCTAATCCCAGTCTGTTGGAGCAGCTGCAGGTTTTACTGCAGTCGTGTTTTTATCGTGACGGACGGAGATGTTTGTTCATTTGGGACCCAGAGGGGGCGGTCCCCTCCATAGCCCCGCCTACATCCTCCCAACTGTCTAACTGGCTATCAATCACAGACTTTAAGTCTTAAAACTTTACGTCTTTTGAAAAAAAAATCCTTTTTGAACGAACAGCAGCGAGGCGGGAGCTACATGAAAATGATCMGAAGTGGTTTTATTTTGAAGTCAGGAAAATGAGCTCTTATTTTAAGTGGCTTCAGCTTCAGGCTTCCAGTCCTGTCTCTAATAGTAAACCTCAACAGTCCCATAGGATGGTCAGTTGTCGACCCTCCATGTTGTGTAAAAACAAAGACAGCGTGGATCTGTTCTGGTCTGAGTTTAAACGCCGCTCTAAAAACAGCTGAACTGTGACTTTACGTGTGGTTTTTCTGCCCGTCCCTCCAGATTACGACCTGTCCAAGCTGAAGGACTTCATGGACCAGCAGGTGGACTCGTACATCGAGAAGGGCATCATTGCTAAAGACGAAGGCGACACCATCAAGAGGATCTACAGCAGCCTGTAACCGGATCCACCTTCTTCAGTTTCCAACCAGGAACCGGACCGGACCAGAGGAGGTCCTGCAAAACACCGACTACCTACAATTCTGTCATTTATATTCCAAAACATTCCCAAAACTGTACCAAAGGATGGGATTTATTACTGTTATAAACTGCTTCTTTATAAAGATCAGAACCATTTCTGTAAAATCCTTTTTCAGCTGGACTAATGAATGTTTGGAGCTGTGATCCTTCYAAACCAACACCACTCAAATTATACTAATAAAAATTAATCTGTCTTAGGTTTATCCTGTTGCTTTCGGTGCGTATTTAATCATTTTAATGTGATTTTAATTTCCCAGAATTCTGTGTTTTTTTGTTTGCAGCTGTTTGTTCAACCTTCTGTTTTTTCCATCTGAGCCAGCAGGGGGCGACATGTGGACCAYCTCTGCTCGATTCCACCTGTTTCAGATCTGCAGAGGAAAAAACATTTGTTTTTATTTTTAGAGACACTCAGAAAAAAATATGAAGGTTTGTTTCTTTAGCTTAAGAACTAAACTAAAAAATAACTGAAGAATCAGTTTTATTAACAGAAAAAACTTTTTTTAAGGGGAAAATTTGACCCGTAAGAGCCACAACTTCCTTGATTTTAAAAAAATCTAAATTTGAAACAAAAAGGTGGAAATGTTTATGTAAATCTGACAGAAGCCACAATTAGAGAAAAAACAATAAAATTACAAAACAGTTGGGATTCTGTTATTTTTGCAAGAAATT